ACAACGACGCATGAAATTAGGATTACGTCGTTGAGAATATTCTTTCTTACTTTAGGTTATGTAAACATGAGTACTTTCTTTCTTGTCTCTCGCTACTCTCTCTCTCTCTCTCTCTCTCTCTCTACTCTCCTCTCTCTCTCTATATATATATATATATATATATATATTATATATATATACTATAAATATTATATATATATATCTGTGTGAACGGCGGAAACCCCGAATGTGTGTGCCCATGGATTTGACACCTGTGTGTGTGTGTGGCCCTAACAGGATGTGGTTGTCGTGATGGTGTGTCTGTCCGTGTGTGCTGCTGTGATGTGCTATGTATGTGGTGTGTGGGCCTGGTTTGTGTTTGTGCTGTGTCGCGCGCGCTTGGCCTTCGTTGGTGCGGTACGCTCCGCTGCGCGCTCAGTGTGCAGTATTTTCGCGTGTACGCCTCTAGCGCTAATCGAGCCATGAACAATTATTAATGATACGCCAACAATTCTGCTTATTACCGCTTGGCACATAATATCTCCAGAGTAAGCGAACAGCGTTTATGCCAACAGCGTAATATATATAACTTACACACACAACAACACCGGCCCGCCCGCATCTGCACATGCAAAAGCCTTCAAAACGCTAGGTTGGCCGCAATCGCCATACTAGAATGCATGCTAAATTACAGCAAATACGCCAAATCGAAATGCTATAAAGTACGCATTCAAAGCCACGCTCCCCGATATGCCCCCCATTATGCTACGCGTCACGGGAAGAGAAACTACGGATGCGAATGCCGCTCCACCGCGAACACCAACGTGCGGCATACACGTCAGCAGCTGCTGTATAGCATAGATACAGCTAAACTGGCGCCCTGTGCCAGGCACGCTATGCGATAACGCCCACGCCCCATCCGTCTATCTGCTGCCTCAGCTAACTTGCATTACGCTTCACACTGCATGCCTAAAAGTTCCGTTTAAACTTCGGGCAAAGTGCGTGCTCATAGCCCGCCATAAAGTCAATGAAAGCGATCGGTTTTCGCGCTCGCTGCGTTCATAGCACGAGCAATGATGGCGGGCGAGAGGATGAGAAAGGGGAGAGGGTCGCAGAAAAGTAGAGAGAGCTGAAGAGAGCAGGACAAGCAGAGTGAGCAAGGGAAAGGCGGAGAAGAATTAAGAGAGAAAGCAGAGCATAGACGAGCCAATGAAAGAGAAGAAGAGAGAGAGCAATCACGCAGAAGAGGAAGAGGGAGAGAACAGACGAGAACAGTGAATGAGAGGAGATGAGCGCGGAGAGAGACGAGAGAGGCCGAGGAGAGAGAGTATGACTGAGCCTGAAAGAGAGAGAGAGAGACAGCGTGGAAGAGGAGGAGCGCGCTGCGTTCTCTCTCGTCACTGACTCGCTCACTGACAAGGCTACACAGGTGATAGAGCGAGCTTAACATAAAACGTGGCAGCTTAGACACAATCGGATGTTTACGCGTATCGCGGCGATGTCAGCCAGAAACAACACTTATGCATCAAAAAAATGTTGTCTGTCTTGGCGCGCGGTTTTTGCAGACAGGCTTCGCCGTTTGGATACCTCTGCCCGAATATAAGTAGGCTTATGCCGCTTGTGTCACGACATAGCCGTATGATTGCCCTCTCGTACAGTCATGGTTAGCTGACCGCATGCATATACGCCGCGCTTTACCGCGCGTCGGCATGGCGTGAGCACCAAAAGCACACGTGCGAAGCGACGCGTTGCTCGTCGTCATGGCCAAATATACGCTGATTTCAGATGACGGCAGCAATCTGTGTTGGAAGAAGTGGCGTAAGGCTGAGAAAAAGAGAGAAGAGAATAGAGCGCCGCGAGAGCAAAGCCCCAGGACGAGAGAGAGAGAATAGTACGAGGAGGAGAGACAAGAGATAGAACGAGAAACGAGAACGACAGCGAGAAAGCAGACAGACAAGAGAGCAGACGAGAGAGCGGAGAGCAGAAGAGAAAGCGCAGAACACGAACGCGAGAGAGAGATGAGAGTGGCGAGAGGGGTGAGAGAGAGAGAGAGATGGAGAGAGAGACGAGAGAAGAGGAGAGAGAGAGAAGAGGGTGAGAGAGAAGAGAGCAGGATCCTAGTATACCAATAGGCAAGTAATGTAGAACCGCGGCGCTACTTCTGCATATTGACTGCATAGCTACCCCTCTTGCAATATATATCAATTACCGCATGAGAAATAGGCGAGCAAATCATTGGTCTGTGGTGACGTGAATAACGCATTTATTCGCTTAAGCGTATGCTATTGAAATCTCCTAAAGTTTACCCGTTTTTATACGAGGTTGCCGCGAGAGGAAGAAATCGTCGTTATGTATTCAGGTTATGACCTACAAACTGATTTCGGTTGATGTGTATTATGATCTGCAAACACAATTTGCGCCTTCATTCGTACGAGTGATCATTACGTTGACCTGCACTTTTCGACTCATGTTAGATCCTCAACT